AATCTGCTTTTAAAATGCTTTTCCATAATTGTGTTAAAATCAAACACGGAAAAAAATGTAAAGTGTAAAGAAAACATTCAAAAAAGACACACAACATAAATATGCAATGTTTTTCTGTCTGAAGAATTCTCTTTCATTGCTAAAAATAGATGCTTTACTATGAAGATAATCTTTCTCCATGGATGAAGGTGGTGGTTTGAGGTCTCCAGTTACATTAAAACCTTCCAGTCTTTCCTGACTGTGACATTTTCATTAAAAATAGCCTGATATGTCTGTCAGGTAGATGAACCTGCTATTTTCGTTCCTTGTCTTACTGGTTGACTGGTGGCTGGGGCAGTCGGCCCATGTCAGGGACTTTCCCTCCACTGAAATGCTTTTCCTCCAAAGTTCATGTTGGAAAGAAAGAGACGGTAGAAAAAGTTAAGGCATGCAAGTTTTGTTTCATCGCCACTTGATAATTACACTGTTTTGATAATAATATTCTCAGTACATTTCCCCCAATAACTTATGAAATACTATGACATTTTTTTGACACATCCACAGTCTCTTTAGAAGTTGAATAGTTGTTTTACGCTTCACATTATTATTTGGTGTGTTGCGGTAGGTGTGACAAGGCCTGTTGTCGTTTGAGACTTTCCATTCTGAGAGGCAGCTGGTCTTAACATGAAGAGGAGGAAACTAAGTGATGGCTAACACAGAGGCATCAGAGGTGTGGTCTGGCATGTTCGCGCCCCCGCAGTGCTGACTGCAGAGGGTCTGAGGTGCCCTGCAGACTGACTTATGGTCGATCAAGGGAGTGAGTGTCGGGGGGGGGGGGCAAACAGGTCCTCGGGGGCCAGGCTCACAGCTCAAACAGGGAGAGCACCCGCCTGCAGGCTGAACGGGTCTTGGGAAACTTCTCAGCTTGACTTCGAGCCATGGCGTCAAAATTTTGAGGCAAACACTGAAGGTAAACTGCCAAATCATGTCTTCCACCTTTTCGGGCTCTCTCAGATTCCACTGTAAATGTTTGAGCAGAGCACCCTCCCCACTAAAAAAAAAAACAGAGTTGTATATGTAATGATGTGTTGGAGCAGTTCACTTGTGAGTCTTTGTTTTAATGCCTTTAAAGTTAAGAAAGGTTTAAGTGCACAAAGGACATTTAGGGTTTTAACCGACTTTGCTTAAAAATTCATTTACAGCACAATTATGTTTAAATCTTAAAGAATTACAAGACTTCATCAGGTGATGGATAGTTTGGCAGCGCCAGAGGCAGAGCTTCAAGCGCTCACAGCTGGCATGACACCTGCCCGAGACTTTCCGCAACTAACGCCAACTGCCCCAGACACAGCAGAGGACTGCAAGAGGGAGAACTGAGAAAATTCTCTCATCCAACCATTTGAACTTTCCTTTCCGGATGCCTCCACTGTCCCTCAGTTTGTGTGTTCGTTCTTAAAAATGTTTACCACCTTTGGTTGCAGAATTGTACCCTAGCTCGCCCACTGTCAGCGATGGTCTCGCCGGGATGGGGTGGGTAGCCCCCAGGTGTTTGCCTAACCAGATCAGAGCACTCTGGTCACGGGCAACTGTTGACACATGGCATTTTGCAAAGGGTAAAGTTTAAACAGGACTTATCAAGGCCCTGACACCCTCAGATGGATGAGCTTATATTCTCCACTCTGACTCTCTCACACCTCCCTGATATCCCACACATGACCACAACAGCTCCCAGTGGCTTCAGCAGCAACAGCGAGGGAGGGAGAGGGGGGCATGCTTGGAAACTACTTCAGATGAGTTCTTTATCCCTAAAAAACTGTAAGAATAATAACAAGAAGAAAGAAGAAAAAAAAAAAGCTTTCCAATGTGATTATTTATTGACTTGGCACAGTTGTCACCTCCATCATCATTTCAAATCAGAATCAGATAACGCAGGAGATGGCTCAGCTATCCCATGAAGAAACAGATGTATTCTGGCCTTCACCCCTGTGACCAGCAGTGCATGATAACTGTTGCCGCACGCTTTCTTGTATATCTTCTCCTTTCTCCGGCCTCCTCTGGAGATAGTGCCACTGTAATCTCAGCCTTATCTGCTCCTGGCTTCTAGTAAACCGAAACACATTGGCCACTCATTGATAGTGTATCTGCAAGGAAGGAAATACACACTGATCTTGGAATGCAGTGGAACCAATAGTTCTTGATAGATGTCAGCGTGGTGTTTTTTATGTTTAATCATCAAACCAAAACCATTGATGTTTTCACTGGTATGTTTCATCTTAATTGTATGAATTGTTGTTTTCTTTAAAATAGAATGTGCCCTCTATATTTAAAAACTTTATATTTACATGGAGGGGGGGTCCTCTCTGTGGAGGCCACTGTGTTTTTTACTGTTGTCCAAACTGGACAAGTAGTTTTTTCAGATAATTTTCACTTTTACTCCACTACATAAACAATAGATTGTTTATGTAGTGGAGTAAAAGTGAAAATTAGAGATTTATTTTTTATTTTTATCTGTACTTCTACAACCCTATCAAATCCTTGTTAAGCCACTAGCATTGAAAAAAAAATCCAAATATCCCCCCCTCTAACCTTTCTGAAAGCTCACCTGAAAAGCTCTCATATTGAACTCTGCTGAGTGACTACAAGCTGCCTCCCATGCCTTCAGGTGATGTGACCTCAGAGTCAGTTTAAAAGACAATGAAATAGTATCAAAACTAGGGCGAGATCTCAGCAGGTCACTCTCCTGCATTTCCACTAATAAGGCCTGAGCTGTAATTATGTCCGAATGACAATGGCTCATTGTCAAAGTGCTGACAAAATGTAATGACATTACCTGGCAGAGGCTGATACTGTGCTCTCGTCCTCACCGGGGATCCTCTCAACAGAGAACAGGTGACAGATACAAAGGGTGAATTATAATAACACTGGTCTTACAAACCTTGCAACGATTGCTTTTAACAGAGAGAGAAACATTTAGAGACAAGAGGCTGAAGTCAACACACTCACGTACTGCAGCTTCACGAAAACACAACCTCTTAGGTAAATATAACTGAAGGTCGACTCATTAGCTTTTCTCTTAACATTTCTTTCTCTAGCTGTTTAAAAAGCTGGTAGCCGGCTGCTGAGGAAGACAGTAAGACGTGGTTAAAATTGGACTTAAACTTTTAATTTTTATTTGATTTTATTTCCAAACATGCATTTCCCAAGGTCAGAGCAATTCAGTTCGGAAAATCTACTTGTCGCGATTGTAGTCAGTCTTATGCCAAATCTACAAACGTGTTTTTTCATTATTAGTACTAACAACCTGCTTCTCCCACACTATAAGACTCTTTTAAATC